TTTTAATTTTCTTTTGGGGAAACTAAAAACCCCTTCTTCCACTTTTCCTATAACGAGTGATGAGTTAAATTGCTAGAGTTCCTTCACTAACTTGGTTCTCATCTGGGGAATCTGGAGGCTGAGACTTAGGCCTGCTCATCATTCGAGAAAAACCATAACCAAGAGAGCTTCCAGTCGTTTCACAGAGCTGCACGAAGAGAATAATCGTTTATTACTCTTTAAAACATTACAATATGTTTGATAAGCATGGCTCATTACTACTATAAACCAGATTTTAGATTTTTTTTCCTTAATATTGTACTCTAATGTGTACCAAACAGGCACTTAATATTTTTTGACACATTAAGTCCTTGTTTGATAGTTATAATTTTGAGAAAATGGAGTTTTGAATAGTGATTTCTTAGACAATGTATGGTTAAAAAATATGTAAAAATTTCGAGTTTACGTACAAAATATTTTATTTTGTAAATGTATGGTTGAAAATAAGTATGAGAATTAAAGAGTTTTGAAATAATAATTGTCAAACTGGGGCTAAGATACAACTATCCAACTTATCACACATGCTGTAATACAAGACTTAGATGTGAGAGTCAAAATTTGCATACCTCTGTAAGCTCAGAGAGATGGCGGGATCTAAAATCGTTAATTGTTGCAGCTATCTCTGATGTCGGTAGTTTAGCCTGAAAATGAAAGATATATTATATAATTAGAACCAAGGGGGACTAAAACAAACAGTAAAACAATGTACGATGAAAATGGTTTGATATTATAAAACGGGATGGTAATGCCTCTGTCAGTAGGTCTCTAGGTGCAAAGAAAATGCCAAGAAGAATATCTAATAATGTTGTTTTAGAACCTGATTATGCCTTTGTCAATCGAACAAAAAGGGCACGGCTGGATTGTCCATATGATCAGACTTATTCACCTTTTACTATACACACAATGCATGGTATCATGAAAATGAAGGCTCTACTGTGTGCAGATGTACATTCAGATTACAAAAAAGATGCCACAACATGCCTGGATATGATGATAGTGGACCAAAGGAGATACCCATCGAATTCTTAATTCAAGACTAAACAATTTGGCATCTAATGTATATTTCTTAACAATCAGACGGTTCACTCAGATGCTGGTTGGAATCAATAAAATTTTAGAACAATTTCTAATTTTAGCTTCACCCATTTGGTAATCATGTTCTCTTAGCACATGTTCAATTAATGAGTTATAACAATGAAATACTGCATATCTATTTAAAGGATGAAGGTGATACAACTCCTTCATGGATATTCTACTTACTTGTGCAAGCACAGCAGCTGCTAACTGCAAACTTGGTTCCAAGGTCTCTGGAACAACCTGTTGAATGTTTTGATTAGACACCAAATAAGAATTAGCTTCTTAACAAGTGCAAAATTTACAAGAATAATGATCTCTCTTCACAAAATTTGAATCTTCAAAGAAAGCACTACTAGTCTATAAGAAATGGATAATTAAGAGGATAAAGATGACAGAAAATTACCGCTGATGCACCAGCCTTTTCTAAATTAAGGCCATGATCAACATCATGAGCACGAACAAATGTTTTCACATTGGGAAAATACTTGCTCAGAGCCCATACAGTTCTGTAATTTGCACCAGGAGAGTCTAAAGTTATTGCTGCAGCACATGCTCGTTCAGCACCTACTTTATGGAGGACCTAACAACCAGAGAGATTAGTACATAATTTAATGACTGAATGAACCGTAATCGAAGTTTTGACGCCTTAATCACCTCTTGACTACCAGCATCGCCGAAATACACAGGAAGGTCAAGTGCGCGCCCAATTGCAACTCGATCACTGCAGGGAATCAAATTTAGCGATAGCTGATAAGTATCTAAATGCCACAAAGGAAAAGCCTGCTAATGGTTGAGACGTGCATTTTCAGAAACAATATTTAAATTCTTTTTCTTGGAGTTGTATTATGTCACGTCATATAACTGGGTACAATAGAAAACAAATCTTGATCTGTTAATAAGTCATAAAAATCAAAATGTGATGATACAGTAATGGACCCTAGACTGCTCAGGTGTTTTACATTAAGGAACGTGGCATAAAATTTATTGCAAGCTCTATTAAAAATTATAACAATGTTGAATAACATATCCCAATCTGTTTATAGGTCCTTTACTTCCTTCTAAACTTCATTTCGGAGTTGGTTATGGCATGGTTGCACCTTAGAAATGCTTATAGCTAATAACATCTCCAGTTTGAATACCAAACTACCAGACATAATTTTTCTTAAATATCTCTTATCAGTTAACAAGGAGAAAATTTCTGGCACGACTTTTCTTTGCCTAATGAAATGAAAGTTTAGCAAAAAACAAATAAAGTCTTATTCCCAATTAAATTTAATCCTTTTTTGATACTCATTTCATTGTTAAATCTACTCAAAGGTCCGAAACAACCCAATCCTTGGCAACCACAAAGACCAGGGTCGCCAAGGATGTTAACACACTCAAAATGGTTTCAAGGGGGTGTAATTATAACCATTTCTATAGAGGCAATTTGGTTTCATATCAAACATGACGTGATTAAATTTATACCTCCTCACATCAAGTGCAACAAATGGAATCAGCCTTTCAGAAAGAAGCTGGGCAATAATCTGCAAGATTCAAAATGAAAATTAGACATATATAGAGAAAGAAAATACATAACTGAAATTCGCGTACTAGCTTGACAAATATGTCAATGATATTAAATGATTTCAAAGAAACAAGAGATGAAAATTGTAAGGTACCTGGCCAACACGTCCAAATCCACATATAATTATATGATCTTGCAAATCATCTGTCTGAAGAAACGCAAAATAAATAGGTACTTTTTAAATTGTGCATCATGTGAACATAGTAACAGTAACCAGATAAAAATGCATTCATTCATTAAACAAGAGTTTTGAGGACCATCAGATTACGGAGTGTGGCAGTAGAATTCTTTCATTCATCCACATGATTATGAGAAGAAAAACAATACCTTAAGATGATCTTTCATGCAGGACAAGTGAATAAAAGCACCTAAATCAATCGTCTATTGGAAAGAGAGTCACCAACCTCGTGGAAATTTAGGACTAAACTTTAAGGCAAGGAACAACAAGAAGCAAATTATTCCATAAGAAAAAATGCAAGTACATAAGAGACACGTGCATATTACAAACCTAAAACAAAAAACAGTACTTGACTAATGCCAAGTGGAAGTAACAGGATAGGAATGAGAAAAGAAAAATGATAGATGGACACCTACACTCAAACATGAAATCATTGCCCAAAACAGTATTAGAATCTGAATATCTGTCAATGAAGTCATTCACCTCACTTTCCATTGGCAATAGGCTTCGGACATCATGTAGCTCAAAGCGAGAGGCTATTAATTGGCCTCCAGCAGCTAAATATGGAGTAAGAGCCATTGATATTCCGACCACAAGAAACAGCAAAGACGACAGCTGCGAAGTCATTATACCCTGAAAAGACGGTCATATCAACAAAATATTAGTTAAAAAATTAGATATGATGGTAATGAGTTGAACGGCTTTTCACATATTATCTATTTGGCAGCTGGCTCTCGTATTACTTGAGATCAAGTAAAGCAATTGCAAATCTATATCCTGACATGCTATGGCAACTTGTTCGGCTTTTCACATATTATCTATTTGGCAGCTGGCTCTCGTATTACTTGAGATCAAGTAAAGCAATTGCAAATCTATATCCTGACATGCTATGGCAACTTGTTTGTCTGATCACAGCCAAAAGAGAGATTACTAAAAAAATGAGAATAGTACCAGGAAGGAAAAAAAAACTACTTGAAGCATTTTCATCCACTGTGATCAAGAAAAGCCAGGAACAATGTACAAGTTTTCTTCCGATTCTCTCACAAACCATGCATTGTTTGCAGAACTGAAGAGATTACAGCGAGTTTGAAATTTACATGATACTAGTGACGCAGGATGCAATAGGAGAATTATAGGAGAAGGGGAAGAGGAGAGGAGGTGAAAGGAGGGAGAGGAGAGGGAGAGGGGACGATAGAAATTGGGGGAGAAATCATTATTTCATTATATCAAGTGTCCCAATTACATTGCATGATACCCCTTCATGTAGGGTTTCAAAAGACCCTATTCTAAGTAAGAAAATACTATAAAAAGTAATAAATCAAACCCTAATAATATTTCCAAAAATATGCATTAAAACTGGAAATTAAATATAATAATATCCCTTCTAATTCTCCATCAACTAGCTTCCAGGCACAATGTAAAGTTCCAGCAAAAGATCAAAATCTTATCAAGCGCAAAGCATTCCTATGCAGCGACCACAAAAATCTTCAGGTTTTCATGAATTTATTTTCCAGATAATGAAAAGGCATTATCAAGCTATGAAATCTCAGAAGAAATTTAATGAAGCATAAATGCAACATGTCCTCAAAATCTCACAAAGATGAAAGGATTGTAATGGTTATTCACAGGCAAGAAGTACATTATAACGAAAGGATTAATTAATGAGAGATGAAACCTGATTAACAGCTTCACCAAAAGCTACAAATGCAAATTCTCCGCCGGGTGCAAGAAGAAGACCAAGTCTTATCGCTGACACAGTTGAAATACCAAAAAGTCTTCCAATTAATGCAATCAAGATAGTTTTTCCAGCAATTAGAAGTGCTAATGATCCTGTAACAACAGGAAAGTTTGTAACTAGAAGTTTTGGATCGATAGACATTCCGACCTGCGTGCCAAACAATAATAGCTATTAGTTACAATTGTAGTGAAACTTTACTGATACTCCATGTAAGCAAAAGATCAAATTAACCAGAAGTCACAAAACAGCAACATGGTAAAAATCACATTTAAATGAATGGATACAATTGGAAGAGACCCTATTAGACATCAGGGTTCAAAAGCTATAGGCTGCACAGAACAATAGTTTTAATATATACTAGAAACTCCAAAGAATCAGTTCTGAAGATCACACAGAAGCTTCCAGAACTAGAAGGAAATCATGTGCAGCATATTCCAAGAACAAATGGAAGTTATCGCTGTGAAAACTAGAGGTCTTACCGTCATGAAGAATAGACCCAATAGAAGGCCACGATACGGTGCAATATCTGATTCAACCTGCAATGAAAATTCGGTTTCTGCTAGAAGCAAACCAGCCAAAAAAGCTCCCAAAGCCATGGAAAGGCCAGCCTGTTTTAGTTAATGAAAGAACCATATTATTATCGTCACAATACCTGAATACTATTAAAATAAAAATACTACCACCAAAACACTAGTTTGCTTACCCTGGCAGTTAGGAGACTAGTCCCTAAAATAACGAGAAGAGTATTTGCAGAAAATATTTCTGCATTTTGATTCTCTGCAATTTGCTTATATATTGGCCGAAGCAGCTGCATAGCATGAGAGAAGAAAAGGATAAAATTCTTTTTTGTTCACTATAATAAAAAGGGAATTGACATGCGTACTATATGAGAAAACATATAGTTCGATAACAAAAGGGTTTTGTCAAAATTCGTTCAAAAGGATACTAGTCGAAGGCACAATTGCAACATCGAAAGCATAGGATTTTGAACAGTGATTTAGAGAATTATAACGTTTACCAAGCGGCCTCCTGCAATTATGGCAGTGATGGCAACAATTGCCTTCACAGCAGCCAATCCAAGAGCTTCAGCAATGGCTTGAAAACCAACCTGTAAATAATTGAAATGTTGCACATTGAAAAGGCACTGGTAGCAGTAGCAGCAGCAAAAGTTTCTGGCATTAAAACTACCACAAGCAAGCAGAAAATCATAGGTAGTGTGATATCCACTTATTATTCAGTCGAGTGTGCTAGAAAACCTCTTTAATTAGCTTCATGCAGTAAAATAAAACTATAGAATTGTGTGGATGAGGTGTCATTTCATCTAAGTGTGTCTTCAGCTGAATTAAAATTTTCAGTTGAAGAAAATTGTTACCCCTCCTTTGGACGAATTTGGTGAAATAAGCGGTATCAGTATGAGCAAAACCACCACAGCCAAGTCCTGGAAGGAAAAGGTAAACAGTCAGTATAAATCTTGAATAGACATGCAAATTTGCAACCACAGAAACCTCCAAATGGCTGTCCAAAGAGAGAGAAAGAAAGAGGTGAAAACTTAGATTCCTGAGAGAGGCATACAGACCTGGAAAAGTAACACTGAAAATGTAGCTCGTCCGTGACGTGATGTGCTCTCTCCACGTTCCTGCAAAACCTGCAGATATTCCCAGGTTAATCATTATAACTGACTCTGCAACAATAGTACTAAATCAAAGTCTTCACAAGTAGCTCGTAAAACTAACTATATATCGTAAATCAAAATAAAAAAACGAAAGAAACAAAACAAAGAAAGGACAAAATAATAGCTCTCAAGGTATAAATGATGTTTTACCTGGAGTACAACAGCAGTGGACGATAGTGCAAGGCCATTACCAATGACAATTGCAGCAGGGCCCGGCAGTCCAGCTACAAAATGAGTAACCAAGCCAACCACCACAGCTGTTGCCAGGACCTGAATTCGCGTAAAAAATTTGGAACATATAAACTATACTTTCTGATTGTATCAAAAGGTAGCTCTCGAGTGCAAAGCGTACGAGATTAAAATATTTCGAGTTACCTGAGCGGAGCCCAATCCAAAAACATATTTCTTCATGGAACTCAGCCTCTCAACTGAGAGCTGCCAACAATGAAGTTACGGGATAACTCTCTTGGCCATAACTATATAAATATGGATAATGAATGCTTTTAAAATTATAATTTGAAAATTCTATTATTCAACCTCAAGACCAATATTGAATAGCAAGAAAACCACTCCAAACTCAGCTATTGCCTTAGTCCCATGTACATGACGGATGATAGAAACACCGTATGGTCCAATTAAGATTCCAGCAGCCAAATATCCAAGAACAGGGCTGCCTACATATTGCATTGGAGAGAAGATGTGTAACAATACCACAAAAGGAACAGGGATATAGAATGGTGCAATAGCATGTATGGAATGGTGACTGAATGTAATAACAGAAGAAATGATAAGAAGATGGTACATCAGTGGCATGCAAGAAATCTTATTTTCTTCTACAAGAACAGTATAAGAACATAAACAAGAAGGGTCTTCAAAAAAACTCCTATGTTGACAAGGTATTGCACTGTAATGTGCTGAATTAATAATATTATGATCACAACATTAGGCAGCCTATTGACACCCTTCTTTTATTCGCCAAGTTTGGGGGTGGGGGTGGAGAATGTTAAATTTAGTTCACCTCCAGGAATTTTCTGAAAAATGGGAACAAATATAACACTTGCAAGCAGTAACCACAGCATGTCAAAGAGGGAGGCTTCTTCCTCATTAATCTGAAAAGCACAGATAGATCTGTTAGGAAGAACACACGTGTGGATACACATACATGTCACATTACTAAAGAATAACACTCTTCAATTCAAGACAAATAGAAATAGACTTGAAGTCATGCCTCTTGATGAGGAATCATCTCTGTTAGTTTTTTTATTTTCTTGGGAAATTCTCTTATTTGTCGCACTAGAGGCTTCGCACTAGATGATACTTCATCAATACTCGTGGAGACAATGTCCAGCTGCTGAAATTGCAGACCAAATCTTTCACCTCGGTTGACACAAAAAGCAATTCTGTGATGAATTTCAGCGGCAAATCAAAGATCAGCAATCTTTCCAATCCATCATACTAAAAGTTAATTAGCACATTTTTTGACATCCAATTGAACTACTACAAACATAACAGAGGCACACACATAATGCTTGTTTGGAGTGTTTAAATTAAAATTTAAGAAGCAGGTCCCTCATAATGTGTGAATAAAAAGTGAGTGATAAGTTGTGTGGGTCTATAAAATGTTTGGAAAAAAGTGTGTTTAACCAGCTTAAATTATAATTTAAGTTTTGCCAAACATGCACATAATGTACTTCTGACAGCAGTCTTCGAAAAATTCAATAAATTAGTAAGTATACCCTGCTCCAATAAGTAGTGACCCAAACACCAATTTTGGTAATTGATGCCTAGCAGACTCCATAAGACTATGGAAAACTGAAGATGGCGTGAATTCATCCTCGTCTGCATTAAAAGAGAAGAATGACGCAGAAAAGAACCGTGATGATTTCTTCAGTAATGCTTTTGGAGCACTTAAAGGTGAACTCTCCCGTGTTGGTTCCTTTTGAATTTCCTGTTTTTTACTTTGAGTTTTTAACTTTTCTCCATCCCCTTCGATGTTTTGCAATGGCTCTAAAGATAGTTTTCCATTCTCTTGGTCACTCTCTTCTGACAGGCTTGACTCATCGGACTGACTCTCTGGTAAGAGTTCAAGAAGCTGGGCAACCTCACCTGGCATCTCCCAATCTTTATCAACAAAGCGATCTGCTGTATTTGCTTCACTTACCTCCTCAACAGCAGTAGCCTCAACTGTCGTTTCTGCGGCATCAACTTTGGAAATAGCAAGATTTTTATCAGCTCTTTGTAATGCAAGCTCAGCATCATTAACGCATTGTGCAGCCTCAAGTTCATAAGCAACAGCTTGCTCTGCTAAAAGCATTATGTTTGCCACATCTTCTTCTGCCTTCAAAGCATTCATTTCTGCTTGCTGTGCAACCTTATTCAACCTGTCCACTTCCCTTTGCAATTCCTCTTTCCTGTATTGCACCCTTCTCAGTTTAGCCTCACAAATTTCTAACTGATTTTGACATTCACTTATGTCCTCCTGAGCCGATAAGAGTGCTTTCTCCTCTTCACTCAATTGATGTGATTCTTCCCCTCCATTTTCACATTCTAAAGTTCCTTCTTTAGAAGCTATTGGAGAACCATTATTTTCTTTTGCAATTTTCAATGAACCAACTGCGCCTTGGAGTCTTGCCTCAGCCAAAGAAAGGGACGCCGTTGCTTTCTGAACACCTTCTTTAGCTATAGCCTCTTCATTAACAATCTCTTGAATATTACTAAGGGCAGTATTAGCATCACTCCAAGCATTTGCTGCATCGTCCTTCAATGCTATGGCAGCTTCTGAAATCCTTTGAGCTTTTTCCTCAAACACTGTACTGTTTAGCCGTGCAACTTCCAAATCCTTCATTGCCTTCTGCAGCAATTCCCTCAATTTGTCCAAACTAGGAGTCTCAACTTCTTCTACTTTACTGTCGTCAAATACTACTTTTGAACCATTGGACTCGAGGCTAACCTCATTATTACCACTCTCAAATATTTCTACATCTCTACCAGTGCCATTTATATTAGATACTGAATCATTTCCCTGACACCGCAACAGAACCGCATGCTTTGACATTTTAAAAGTATTGCCATGGTTATAAATTGAAGAATCATCATAACCATAACACCATAAATGACAATTGCCTTTGATAAGTATTCTCGAACGGGTAGTACTACCGGAATATGCATTACATATTTTCAACTTCTTTGAGGAACGTGCTTTTGACACTGGTCTTGGATTACCAATAAATTTCCAGTGAAAATCATTACATTTCGAGCCGGTAGATAAATTCAATTGTTTCAGTTCCCTGCAACTTGCCCCTTTGCCACTATGAATTATATTGGGCTGAGATAAACCGTATGTGAAGTCCATTAAACCGGCTTCTATGATTCAAAATGCATAATATCCATCAAACACATTCCAAAACATATTTAACACTCCCGAGCTCACCAGCTTCCGATCAACCTTAAGGAAAAAGAAAGAAAGAAAAACTCCTTTAGACTGTCATTCATCAACTAATCGGTTACATATGTGGTACTTAATAGATGTTGATGAGCTGCCATTAGAGAAAACCACCATATTTCCCCATTCAAAACAATGCACGTGTCCATACTTCAAAGTCAAAATATTTATATAGAGGTACACATACAGTAGTCTTGATACTAATCAATATTTCTGTACTTGTGACCGTAGCAATGCATGTGTGCAGTGTGCACCTGTATAAACTACGTACTTACACATACATAAGGTATACATACACAATCAACACGGTCAACGACCGATTTACATCTCAGACTACTCGGTAAACTTCACTGACTTCATATCAAACATTTTGCAATTAAATCAAACTTTCCTACTCATAACTCATACGAAAAAAAAAAAAAAACCATCGGCATCACTTAACAAAATGCACGCATAGACATAGTATATACACACAATTCTATATATAATTATATGCCAAAATGAACGAAAATCGAAAAACAGATAGCTCTTACCCATTAAGCCGCGAAATTGAATTGAGCTCGGGAAAAATGGAGGCGGAAATTCTAAGGTACAAAAATTAAGAGAGAAAAAGTGACGGAACTGATAACGGAGTGAATCTCGAGCTTTAGCTTGTGCGTACAGATAGCTGGTTCAGTGCCGTCCCTTCACAGCTCTCCCTCCGCTTGGAAATAAATAAAATAAATGAAAAAGAAAAAATAGGCTATTGGCATTTTGGCATGCTTGGAGCCGTTGAACTGTTTGTTATTTGTTATACTTTTTCGTGTAATAATTTTGGCCCCTCAATTTGTTTTTAACCAAAAAATGGCAGCGATAAGAATAATAATAATATAAAAGCCCCTTAACAATTACGTATTATCACTTTGACACCCAAAATTATGGTTCATCTATCAATTGAACCCTAAGATCGGACTCTTGTAGGCTTTAGCTGGGCCAACACTTTCATTGGCAAGTCCTAGTCCAAGACCGGCCCAAATAATATTAGCATTTGTCTAGCTTACTATTGACGAATATTCCATTTGAATATGCGAATATTGATGCAATTTGGGAAAAAGTACAGTTTGGGAACCTTTTTATAATTCATTCAAACTTGATATTTGGGATGAAAAAAGTAGATATTTTATTTTTTGACATTTTTCTTGGACTCACTTGGAGTTTATTTTCCTTTTCTACCATTTCTAATAAGAAAAAGGGGTAATTACATAAATACCCATAAAATGGAAGGCATTTAGAAAAATCATGCTAAAAGTTATTTCGAAGTAAAAAATAGTAATATTTTATCCAATGTTCAAGACCGACCAATACTGTTGCATTTTCGACAACTGTGGCCCAACAAACTATTCCAAGTTTTTTAAGGACAAGTTTAGATGCATTAATAATTTAACTTTTACAAGTAAAATGTTAATTATTTTGACAGTAAATTAAATAAATAACTTATTTATAACTTTTGTTATTGGAAGATTATCTATTTACAACTATAACTTAAATAAATTTAAAAAAAGTAACAAACAATCAAATAAGTGATATAAATTAAAAGAAATGTGACATTCAAAAAAACGATACAAATTCAAAACATGTGACAAAAAATAAAATAAAAATGGCAAACACTAAAAAATGTGAGACTTAAAAAGTGACAGAAATTCCAAAGAGTGGCGTACTCTTAAAAAAAGGCACAAATTCAAAACATGTGGCTATAAAAAAAAAAAAAAGTGACAAACACTAAAAATAGTGATAGAAACTTTTTTTAAAAAAGTGATAAATACTCTAAAAATTAACAAAAATTCAAAAAATGTGACATACTTAAAAAAAATGACATAAATTCAATAAAATTGACACAAAATAAAAAAACTGACAAACAATAAAAAAAAATATAGAAATTCAAAAAAGTTACATACACTAAAAAAAGTTATACAAATTCAAAACAAGTGACAAAAAATAAAAAGGTAACAAACACTAAAAAAGTGATAAAAATTTTTTAAAAAAAGAAGGTGACGGAGAAATTAAAAGTAATAAACATTCAAAAAAGTTACAGAAATTCAAAAAAGTGATGCATTTTCAAAAAAAAAGGTGAAAAACAGTAAAAAATGTAGTAATTAAAAAAATGACAAACACTCGAAAAAGTGACATATCATGTCACATTAAAAAAATTGACTTATTTAAGGCTATGTTTCTTCGCTCTTCAGGTGAGGTTTTTATTATCTTATCGAAATATTCGCGACAAAAAATACATTTTTCAAATTTAAAATTATTAAACGATTAGTTCATGGTTACAAGTCGAAAATGGCCAAGAAATGAACTTAATAATTATGGTTTAAATTTCATAAATTTTTACATTGATATCAATTCGGAAAAAAATAAAAATTAATAAACATAGTTTTATGTTTAATAATTTAAGGAAGATAATTTTTTTATTTTTAAATGTCGTCCATAACATATTTATCATGATCGCATTTTAAGCTTCCAATAGATTTTTGAATTGCTCAAAACGGATAGTTGTAGCGTAAAATATAGCATCAAACGAAAATATTTTAATAATAAAATTTTTAAGAAGAGAAAAATTAGATTGGAGGAAAGGGTTTACCCGTCCGTGTTCCCGGATGAGTTTGAGCATAACCTAATTAATATTGTAATTAGAGATATAAATAAGCTTAAGCTTATTATTCTAATTATTCTTTTTTAAAGTAATGGGCTGCTTATCTCTAAGAAAAATATATGGGTAACTTACAAAAATAACGCTGCAATTAGGAATTTTTTGAAAAACCATGTGAAAATTATTTTGAAAGTAAAAAATATTGTGTAAAATTAAGTGTCACTTAAAATAAGTAACACAACGTCACTTTTATATAAAAAAAAATGTGACATAATATCACTTTTTAAAGTTAAGTGTCTTTTTTTTTAATTAAAAATGATATATAGTGTCACTTTTATTAAAAAATGATATTTGTTACTCGAAAAAAAATGATAGAAATTTCTAGAAAGTGGCAGAAAAAGTAATAAACACTAAAAAATGTGAATTTAAAAAAATGATAAATGTCGTGAAAAGAAAGAAAATTAGAATAGAGAATAAAAGTTAATAAACTTGTATGTATTATAATAAGAATCAAAACCTTATATCTATAGGAACAAATTAGAGATAAAATTGTAATAATTTATTGAGTTGCAGAGATACAACCATCATTCACTACTAAACTTATTATTTACAACACTCATCCTTGAATGACACATTAAAAAATATATGCTTCGTTAAAATCTTATTTGATAAAAATCAAATCGAACAAAAAATCAAACGAATGAAAAACAGTACAGTTATTTCAAAATATTAAAGATAAATGCCGTCCATTAAAACTTTGTCAGGAAAACCAATGAGATAAAATCTAAGCGAATGAAAAACAGCTACTCCCGCATATATTAATCATTAAAAATCTTTGAGTTGACGCATTCCAACCTCGTGAACCAATTTCTTGAATGTATATGTTGGTTGTGCTTTTGTAAATAAATCAGACACATTGTCACTTGAGCAAATTTGTGAACATCGATGTCGCTGTTCTTTTGAATCTAATATGTACGAAAGAATTTTGAAGAAATATGTTTCGTCATGTCACATTTGATATAATCTCATTTGAGTTGTGCAATACAAGTAGCTTTGTTTTCATACAAAATTGTTGGACTGTCATTTGTTAAAGTTAATCTGCATGATGCTTAGATATGATGGGTCATGTCACTCAGCCATACACATTATCAGCCTTCTTTATGGATTGCAATAATTTCAAAATGATTCGATAAAGTTATTGGTATGGATTGTTTCAGGGACCTCCATAATATAGCTATCCCTTCACGTGTAAACGTGTATCCTATTTGTGATTTAGCTTTATATAGATCAGAGAAATAACTCACATCTGCATATCCCACTAAAGCAGATCCTGACTTTTGA